CCACAGGAGGCAACTATAGAAAGAGTGTACAACTAGCCACTTATACAACTTTAGTCATTATCTAATTTAAGTAGTCCACTTGAAGGTTCTACACTAGCTGCTATACCTGAAACCTGCTTGTAAGTTCCCTATTTAACCACTCTGTTCCTGTATTCACCCATTTACCTACATCTACCAAAATGCTCCAGTCAATACCAGTTCAAATATATCATGGTTACTAAGTCTTTAAAGCAGTTCACTCATATGGGGAACCTTTAATCTTGTACTAAACTTTCCAGAATCTTCTGTATCCCATTCTTACAGCTAACCTGATATCGCTATGGCTAAGACCAACACTAGTGGTCAGGGCATACAATTTAACTGCTATGCCCTTGTAGAGTTCATCCCAACCCTAATACTAACTTTACAACATATCCCTACTACTTTGGTATTCAATTCAAGTTCCATCAAGCTCCCAAATCAGATAGCCCAGAAAGGCAGATCATAACCATACATCTCTGGTTTACATGTTTGCTGGCATGTAACCTTTTCCTCTAGAACTTAGAAATTCCAGCAGCCTGGTTGGTTCCATTTGGCCCCTTCTTAAAGGCTGGCTCTTTGCCTGGTTTCACAAGTTCTAGCTCTATTTCATAGGTCTAGTCTTTACAGTAGCACCGTCAAAAGTTCAGGTTACCTCTCTACTCAGGTCTTCCAAGTGGGCTTCCATCTTCCTACCTGGTTCTCATGATTTACATAGCCTAAGGACTTATCTTGAGTTCACATCACTCAGTACCAGTTTGTGTTTCTTTAAACAATATTGCACAAATGCTTTAGACCTTTCAGTCATGCTAGTATGATACAGATTACAGGTGTCTTATCCCAACTAATCACAGAAGGCAGTTAACCATAACACAGAAAGAATTGTAAATTTTCACCATTACTGAGATTTGAACTCTAGACCTGCCACTTGGGGGTTGACAACCTATCCACTTTACTAGGTTACTACACCCTTGCTATAGATGATTCTATATATTTAGTATTGCATTTTCATAATATATAATAAGTCTTTTGCTTTAAATATCTAAAATTTATATTGTTACTTTATAGATAGCTTGCTCATAGATAATTAGTTCACAGACAAGATCTACTTACAGACAATTAATTTACAAGTTTATTTTATTGACAGTTTATTTCATTGACAACTTATCTCAACTTTAAATAATTAGAATTAATTTATAAAAAAATCTTGCCTGTAAAATATGCTATCACGAAATATATTCTCTACAAAATGCCTATTAAATGAATTTGTCTATGAATTAATTATCTATAAACTATGAAGTAATTGCCAGTAAAATAATATGAATCTTCTAAAATCTGGTCTTATAGGAAATAAATTAGTTAGTTTTTAAGCATTGACACTCTTATTGAATTATAAAATAATACTTATCTTTTATTATGCAATTCTGTTCCATAGTTCATTAGAACTTAATTTATATTTTATTAGCTTTCTGTTTAATTGAAACACAGAATTAATGATTAAGTTAAATTAATAGTAATATCAGAAGTAGATTAGTTTTTTAGGCTGTTCTCTTTCTCAAAGGCTTTCAGAAATTGAACAATCCTTGTATTGAATAGTTTAGTCCAGATTTTACTTTTGTCTAAGCATATATTTTGCCATCCTTAAACAATTACTAGAACAGGTGCATTTGGCTTCAAATTTATAGCAAGATAGTGGTTTTGCTTATGAATAAAGCAAAGATGATTAGTGGATTTCTATTTAATAAAATATTATTGAGCAAAAAAGTCAAGCACTGATGTTTACTAAAGTAATGAATCAGTCTTTGGAATGTATTTGCAATTGAATACCCAAAAAATAGCATTAATATCTAGTAGTTAATGCTGCAAGAGCCACTTTCCCATTGTGTAATTGTAACAATTTTGTTATACTTAGTTTTGCCTTCAAGAAACAGGTAAATATAATAGTCTTTTCGATTAACCAACTTATTAAAAATATCTCATCATATAGTTGACTACTTATTTTTAGGCATTCTAAGTAATTTAGCTACTGCACAAAAACCACAGTTACTATCACCACAAATATTCATACAGCTTGTGATGTATTCTTCTATAAATTTTAGAATGCTATTCTTGACCATATTAATGCCTTAAGAATAAGTAGCAGATAAAGAAATCAAAACATTATATTTATTTGAGTTTTGCTTAGATTGTAGCTTTGAAGCAAAAGAATCTTGTAATAGATGTTAATATTTAATATTTTTGATTGTCATAATATTATTCAACAATTTTTGCTTTTTTTTGCCTCTAATTCTTGTTTTTTGCTTTTAAGTTTTTCATGCTTTACTCCTGATAGATGACTTTTTGGTACTGCTGTCTTTGGAACCTTTAGAGGTTCTGAAAGTGGTTTTGTAATTGTTTGGCATATATGGTCAATAAATTCTGTTTGCATAGAGGCATCATTTGGAAGTTTATGAAATGCATCTTCAGCTTCAAGGAATACCTTGTAAAATTCTGGATCGGTAGCTGGTATTATTAAAGCTGGATATAGAAAGGATTCAATTTCAGGTCTATGAAGATGCCAACATTTGTCTATAATATTCAAAAGAATTGAACCTTCTTTAGAGATCATATGATGACATGGAAGCTTGTAGTTAATTTTAATCAGACATTGACAAGCTGTTATATTATTAGATATGTTGAGTTTTTTCGCAACTTTAGTTAATGTTCTTTTTATATTATCAATCACATATATTGATATATTGGTGATAAGTATACTAAAGCAAAGATCATGTAGAGTAAATAGATTATACAAAATCTTGTTAGCACCTATATGCATAGCTAATTTGAGATGTTGCATTCTTATTCTCTAGTCAATTTTTTCAAAAACTGAATTCAAACTGCTGGCAGTTTCAATTGCTTACTTAAAAGCACTATGTAATGTTTCAGCATGAGCAGTAGTTGAGATGCCCATATAGCAGAAATACTTTGTATATGCATGTATTTATAACTTTAAATCTTTTATTAAAGATTTAATATAGATTAGAGACTTTTTTTGATCACATGCTTTTTTTGCAGCTTGCTTAACAGATTCTATTGCTAATTCTATTTTTTTTTTATTAAAAGTGAAATGCAAAGCTTCAACTTCATTTTTAAACACTTTATAATCATTATTACTATTAAAAAATCCACAACAGTTGGTTTTAAGGTTTTGCTCAATTATATTTCAGGTACAAAGCATTTTGTCTACTTCTGAAAAGACTTTATTAAAGGCATTTCTAAGTGATTGATCTCTGTCAAACATGAATATGATTGGAAGACAATTATAAGCATCATATACTTTGTTATGAAGTGTTGTTAAAAACCAAATATATGAATCTTCGTATTCGTTTTCCATTTATGCCATTGCAATTTGAAATGATTTTAAAGAGCCTATTTTATTTGCAACATTGCTTATTCCAACTGCATTTACAAGAAGAAATTTGTAAATATTAGTTTTGTATATTGAATCAATAATCAAGACCTTAGGACACTTGGCAATATGCTTTGTCATCTCAATATATGAAAAAAATAAATGTGTTAAGTGTCCATCAGGTGTTTTTAATAGTGCTAGCATATAATCTTGTTGTTGCAAAAGGTGTAAAAGCTTTTGAGCAGAGTCTATATTATAACCTTCATTAAGTGCATATCTAATTTACACACATTCATTTATTACATTTTTTGGCATAATAATGCCATCATCACTAAGCTGATTGATAGCAGAAGTAATGTTACGTATGGGTGTACCACTGTTATGCAACTCATACAAAAGTTTTTTTGATTTATATTTAAACTTCTGTGTTGATGAAGGCTTACTATTTCATTTAATTTAAATAGTGAATGATTATAAACGTATTTAATTTTTGTTACAATATATTGTTGTTTAACAGCAGTAGCCCTTAAATAAACAGGACAGCAGCTTTGCTTTGTTTTTAATTTTCTTTTACAAGACTCAGAAGTGATGTCCCAATTATTATGCCACTTCTCACTTTTTGTGCATTGCAAAATGACATATGATGATTTACTATTGCACTCTTCTAAGTTACTATTACATCTTGAGAAAGCAAATCCTTGATTTTTAGTAGCAGCTTAAGTGGCTTCCTCCAAGGCCTTTAAAGTTGAAAATGTATTATTTACTTTGGACAACATAATAATTTAAAGTAATATTATGTGATACTTTTATTTATATATGAATATCTAATATCTAATATGGACTGTATTATATTAAAAAATATTAAGAAAAAATACATTATGCTCTTACATATATATATTAATATGTATCTAATAGTTTGTGTAACTGTGATCTTTTTGAGATAGTTACACAATATAAGCATGGTAGGTAAATCACAGTAGATAGTGAGTCATATGATCGGTAGGCATAAATCATATGATCTGGTAGGTGTCTGTAGACTTACTCCTTCCCCAAAGAGTAAGTCTATGGACATCTACCAGATCATGTGATTTGTATCTACCAATCATATGACCTACTACCTACTGTGATTTACCTACCATGCTCATATTATGTAATCATCTCAAAAATATTACAGTTATACAAACTATTAAATATATATTAATATATATATGTAAGGGCATAATGTATGTTTTTCTTAATATTTTTTAATATAATACAGTTCATATTAGATATTAGATATTTATACATAAATAAAAGTATTACATAATATTACTTTAAATTATTATATTGCCCAAAGTAAATAATACATTTCCAACTTTAGAGGCCTTGGAGAAAGCCACTTAAGCTGCCACTAAAAATCAAAGATTTGCTTTCTTAAAATGTAATAGTAACATAGAAGGATGCAATAGTAAATCACCATATGTCATTTTGCAATGGACAAAGGGTGGGAAGTGGCATAATAATTAGGACATCACTTCTGAGTCTCATAAAAGAAAATCAAAAACAAAGCAAAGCTGCTGTCCTGTTTATTTAAGGGCTACTGCTGTTAAACAACAATAGATTGTAACAAAAATTGAATACATTTATGATCATTCACTATTTGAATTAAATGAAATAGTAAGCCTTCATCAACACAGAAGTTTAAATAGAAATCAAAAAAAACTTTTGTATGAGTTTCATAACAGCAGTGCACCCATACATGTCATTATTTTTGCTATCAACATGCTTAGTAATGGTGGCATTATTATGCCAAAAGATGTAATAAATGAATATGCATAAATTAGATATGTGCTTAATAAAGGTTATAATATAGACTCTGCTCAAAAGCTTTTACACCTTTTGCAACAATGTGATTATATGCTAGCGCTATTAAAAACACCTGATAGACACTTAACACATTTATTTTTTTTACATATTGAGGTGGCAAAGCATGTTGCCAAATGTCCTAAGGTCTTGATTATTGATACAATATACAAAACTAATATTTACAAATTTTTTCTTATAAGTGCAGTTGAAATAAGCAATGTTGCAAATAAAATAGACTCTTTAAAATCATTTCAGATTGCAATAATGTGAATGAAAAATGAATGTAAAGATTCATATATTTGGTTTTTAACAACACTTCATAACAAAGTATATGATGCTTATAAGCCCATAGTTTTCATTCCTCTATTCTCAAAACCTTTCATGTTAAAATCCTCCTGGATGAACTACCTGTACCCCATACTCTTCACAAACGTAACTCCTCTTATTCCTCTCTTTGTCACCAATGCAATCAAACTAGCTTCTCACTACACTGGACCCTTTGTCCTTCTACTCAAACAATTTATCACTTAATCTCTAATTCTCTTAATTGCATCTTAAATGCTACTGCTCTTGA